AAAGCACTTCCAGTTGAATGTTTCAAGAAGCATGTTAAAGCCATGGGAATGATACACTCTCCCGACGTCTAAGGTTGATATGATGATAATTATGGCATGTATTTCATTATAATATGTGTTTATTTAATATATGCTTGTGTATATGTGCATAAGATATACTATGTTAATGGTTATGTGAAACTATGATTGTACAAATTTGGATGTTCACATATGCTTGTTGAAGCACTTTTATGAATTCAAGCAATTAAGGCATTTACAAAACCTTGCTGAATTGAAATTTTAAGCTGTAAATGTTCAAGGAGGATATGGTACGAATAAACAGGTATATATAACATTGAGGTTGCATCATTGTGACCATGRAAGCCTGCACAATGTTATTGATCAGTAAACTTCCATGATCCACTGTTCAATTTCAATGTTATGTATTATGAAGGAACTGATGTGATTATATAAAACTAGTGCACAATTTAGTTAATTGTTATTATCAAATTATTATCTTGTTCAGTGGGAGATTGTAGCATATATAGAAACATATATGTATATATGCTCACCTTGAGAACAAGATTAATTGCATAATAACAATTATGCTTTATATATAAGCATCAGGTATATATATGTATGCATACCATCAGACTCTTCTTTTCTGTCATATATATATATATCAGTTGGTTTATTGACAGTTATATGGTTCTTTGATGGTGAGAACAATCCCTTCAGCCCCATATAAAACTTTTCTGGCGCCATTTTGCATATGTCTCTATCAAGAACACGCATAATCTTATCAGTTACCAAAGGCCATCAAATGGTAAGGAATTAAGAGTGGATCTTGAGAGCGAATGGGTGATCAATCAAACAATCAAAACCCATCTTCGACAATCGCACAAGGTACACAATTCAAGCCCTAAATCTCTTTATATGAATTGATTCAATTCTGATGTGTTAATGGTATTCGTGAAGTAAGATTAAGTCTAACATTTCTGTCGTGAAAGTAGATTCTTTGTTGTTTTCAATTTTCTTCTGTTTGCAGAACATCTTAGTATGCCCATATCTTAGACAATTGTAAAATTGTATCTTAGGACTATATTGTACCTAGGAGGCTTTCCAATGAAAGTTCAGTAAGGTCCTTGGACTCGTCGATGGCTACAATTACATATTCGCACTTGCGTGTCAGTCTCCTTAAAACCTTTGATGACTCTAATATCCTCAAGATTTTTGCCATTTAGTCTCATCTGGTTTACGATTGCTATTAGCTGATTGTAGAATTCTTCTATCATATCAGAATCTTTCATTTTCAAGCTATCAAATTACTCACACCTCAATGTTTGCAAATTGATTGTTTTTACACGATCTTCCCCTCTATAGAATTTATACAACCTATCCCAAGCTTCCTTCGATGAAACGCATTGTAGAAATTCGTTCGAAGATCGTATCCTCTACGGACTGGTTTATGAAGAACAATGCCTTCTTATCTTTCTTATATAATGAGTGTCTTGTTGTGCCGTTGACTCCGCCTAATTTGCAGGCTCTACAATCCCATTCTCAACTACCCCCTATAAATTCGTGACTCATACAAGCCCTTCATTTGGATACTCCAATGATGGTAGTTCCTTCCATTTAGTTCTGGAAGACTGGGTTGTAGGAGGATGTTGTTCTGTGTAGACATTCCAACAATCAATTTCAGATTTTATACCTTTAACAAGAACCATAAACGTGGCACTAATACCAATTTGTTGTATAAAATCTAATGCAATAAATGAACCCAAACAGAAGATTGTTGCGTGGTGTTAAGATGTAAACAAGAGGTACTGAAAATGCGAACTTCCATTAATTAAAATAAAGTACGATACATTGTGCATATGTTTACAAAATCAAGCATCACAACCCTTCATCCTAACGGTTAACAGATGCCAACAGTTACTATATAACTAACATTAATTGTCATAGTAAAATATATCTCAAAAATCCATGTTGTTAGCTTAGATACAACTTGTGGAGATTATACCAAAGTCGAGACATAAATACATATCCTAAATCCCCAAATTAATTGAATGTGTATATATGACACAACAACCGAAATGTGAAAAACCAAAATGTTCACAAACTAATGAAACAATGCAGTGACAGAAACATGAAATGAGGTCCACAACCTTGCAACCACAAACATCCTCCCATGGCAATCCTAGATGATGTAGTTTATTCAACAATTAGAAGGTTACAATAAAATTCTGCCCTGAACAATTACAAACGACAAATGTTATCAAATAAACCTTACTACTTTGAATTTTAGATAGGGGAGACCACAAATGTTTTCCCAATGTGTAGAAATGATCTCCAACACGAAAGTAGTTATAAAATTAACTCATACTTGCATGGCTACGCAAGCCAACCGCGGATGAATATGAATACCACTCATTTCCATCTTAACATGTATGCTACCTGGTTAGGTAACCATAGGTTGCACAACCCATTTTCTCAATAAATGTACTGTAGCTTCCATGATGTACAAGAATTCCGCATGCAACCTAAGGTCGCATTGTCATGTCACTTAGCCTCCAAATGTGTGGGTATCACATAAATTCAAATATTGAGGATGCATGATGGTATAAAGACGATCTTTGAAGAAATCTGGTTTTCTTTCTTCATGTTGTGATGTATTAAGACTTTAAAATTGTTATGTAATATATACCCTTTACAACATTACAAAATCTAAGGATAGTGCCTCTTAGGTTGGTCAAATTTGTCATGGTAATTTACTACAATATCATTAAATACAATCCATAAGATTAAACGCCCCATTAAATACTATATGTTACAATAATCGGAGGTGGCCATTGAAGTCAAATTTGTTAATTCTTTAGTGATTCAATACTATATGTTACAACATCATGCGGACCATCAATAACTCTCTATTCATCCACCCTGACTTATCTTCTATTTTCGTGCATTATGGTTCACTTAAACGCTTTAAGAATTTACTTCCAATATTTCACAAAAAAATTTGACTTAATTCCATATTTTGTTTTATCATAAGCACAATTTTGTACAATTCAGTTTCCAAATATAAATCCTTCCATTATATATTATTGAATGAAAGTAGAAATTTTAGACTGAATATAAGTCGAAGCTACATTTCAATATAACGGCCTTAAAGCGTTATTTGTTTTTTATTGGTACTTTAGTAAACGGAGAATAACCATCGAAAATACTATACAAACAAATTTAACAAGGGTGCGACATGAGGATTGGCCAATTAATTTGGAATAAATCTCTTTGCTATAATGCAATTATGCAAAGCTATTTGATAATAAAAAATTTTGTCATATAGACATCGATAATTTCTTGTTAATTAACTATTAATGGAATGACATGACATTCCATTAAAATTAGCAAATTCACGTGCCTTTTTCGATGAAAAACAAAACTAAAGAAAATGAATAATCTTTGTTAAGCATATAAGATGTCAAAGCCCAACTCGTTAGGACCAGAACAGAACTACTCGTTGGCTACACAATTTCGCATAGCCAAAGATAAAAGATCCAAGACATACAATTTTTAACATTTGATTTTGTAACAACGCACCGCAACAAAATTTGATTTTATATCATTTCGATAAGTCTTATAAACTTGAAGTCTTGTTAAAATCTTTATTAAGACGATTGAAGCCGTTTTAATAGACCACTAATTTTGTTGTAATGACATTAATTTCTCTAAAGCTATACATGATGTGATCATCAGTTGGGAAGTAGTAAAAAAAAATTAACTACATGAGTAGGGATTAAGATTGCTTTGATCGATAATCTATGATCGATCGTAATTTCAAGATTGAAAACTAATCTTTATTGGATTCAAGGATAAATTTTGTATTATATCAACCTTGCACTTGTTTAAGTGTGTATAATCGGTGTGCAATAAAAACACCTAACAAATAAAATAACAAACCCATAATTCATAAAATATTTTTGCCTTCGGAATGCTTGTTGACACATATGTGATAAATATTCCCCTTGAGGATATATTATTATGTCCAACGTTTTCAACGTCAACAACATTGTAGATATGGTTGCTTTTCATAACATATAGGTAGGCTTACAAGTTGGACACGGCAAAGGTCGAATTGACTCAAGTCGAGTAAGACATCTACGGGTTAGTAATCCACAAATTATCAAAGAAAGATAACATTACCATAGTTAGATTTCGCAAACGAATCTGCAGCTACAACTACAACGTTAATCATAAATTGTAGGCACTTTTATGTCTTGTCTTGTGTTACTGTTTTCTCTAATAATATGCAATATCCTTGCCTTCACTCAAAATAGTTAGAAGTTACAATAAAAACTTGTGATGGGTCTTTTGATAAGATATGAAGATGTGTAGCATTTTCATTTCTAAAGCATTTACATGTAGAATGAATGGGACCATACTATTTTAAATTCCACAAGAAAAGGTACCCTAACTCCCTTACATGTTGCATTCATTTTGTCCGATTTATAGAATTATTACAACGACTTAATTGGATTATATGTCTATGAGCTTGTTATATACGTTAGACTACATGACAATTTACGAGTAATCAAACAAGAAATTTAGTTTTAGTTTTTCAGAAGACAAATAAAAAACCAAAACGTACGCATTTCAATATCGAAGAAATTTAGTTTTAGTTTTATCATCTCCTACGTTGGGATATATATTTATCTACCATATCCACACGAGGCTTCATTGTTTCATAATTAAACTTTATACATATTTTTTGTTATGTAAAATTAGCATTTTTTTTTCATAAAACAATTGGTTTACTAACCACATTCCACCATCATTAAATTCTTAAAAGTTTCATATATAAAATCATTTACTTATATTTAATTTATATCTTTATTTTGTTATTATTATTATTATTTTTTCTGATAAAAGATTACATAGATCAGCATGTGGCGGCCTATATAAGGTTAGCTTGAGAACCCCCACAAATACTACTACACTTTTATAAGCCACAAAACGCAGCCATGAAAACCCTTGTTCTAATATGGGTACTACTTCAAATGTTCTCGTTGTGTATAACTTTTGATGCAAACCTCACCTCTGAAACATACACCCTCAGTAATTCTTCCAATTTAGCAAAGCCAAACTGCTCCAACCGATGTGGAGACTTAATTGTTCCCTACCCTTTTGGCATCGGCAACGACACAAATTGTTCTATAAGCCATGAGTTTGACATCTACTGTGACAATTCGGTAAGTCCTCCAAGAGCCTCCATTACAATAGCAGATTATAGCTTCATCAAACATATATCTGATTCCAGAGTCCGGATTTCCAACAATGTGGCTTCCAAATGCTATTTTACGAATGGCACTGTTTCAACCATGTTCCATGTTCAGGAGAATTATACCAATTTTCCATACACCTTTTCGGATTTAAATAAGTTCACAGTTATCGGCTGTGATGATTTTGCTTGGATGATTTCAGAGACGAGGTCTAAGAAAGTGGGTACAGGTTGTATGGCCTTTTGCTCAACACCGGAGGATGCTCGGAGTGACCAATGTTCCGGCCGTGGTTGTTGTCAATCATCCATACCACAAGACTTAAACTACTATACAACTAACGTCAGGACCATGAATGATTATCAAAACATGAGCAATATAAGGTCTTTTAATCCTTGTACATATGCATTTATTGGTGAGGAGAATGTATTCACATTCAAAGGTGCAACAGACTTGAAAGATCACTCTTTGTGGCGAAAAATTGAAGATAATGTCCCAATAGTTCTTGATTGGGCCATCGGTAATCTGAGTTGCATTGACGCCAAAGCAATGGACGCTTTCGCTTGCCAATCAAATAGTATGTGTGTTAACTCTACAAGGGAAACTGGTGGGTATCGTTGCATCTGCAATGAAGGCTACGAAGGAAATCCCTATCTGTCTCCTGGCTGCCAAGGTACCATTTAATTAGGTTCTTCTCCAATTGTTATCACAAACTATCTATATTTCTTCATAAGATTTCCTTCATCTATATTATTTAATTTTTACACGAAACCCACTTTCAAATATGAAGAGATATTCTTTGAAAGGTGTAAAATTACTTAGATATAAGATTTACAAACTCAATAAATAATTTTTTCTTAAATGAACATAAAAAACTAGTAACATGAAATTTAGAGTAAATTACATGTTTCCTCTCTATCATTATGTGTTTTTAACGGTCTTTGTTCCTTTTCTGAAAATTCAATGAAACGTGTTCTCAAGGCCGGCCTGAGATTTTGGATGCCCACGACGGAAAGTCAAAAAAATCAGATATAGGAACACAATATGTTGAATTTTAAAAAAAGAGACAGACTATTAAAACATATAACCTTGTGGAGGAAACAGTACGTTGAATTTTTTAGGTATGAAAGATGTACCCACTAAAATTTGATGGATGTTCCGGGATATTAGAAAATATAAGAAACAACAACAATAAAAACTGAAAAAGTCCCTTGTAATCAACCAAAAAACTGAAAAAGTTCTTCGAAATCAACCAAATAACTGTAAAAGTCTATCGAAATCAACCAAAAACAACTGAAAAAGTTCATCGAAATCAACTAAAAAATCCCTTAACATCAACCAAAAACTGTAATGAATCCCTCGAAAAGATGGAATTTGACTCAAAACATTTCGAGCGACTTTACGGACCCTTAATTGATGCTTTTGACCAAGAACTGTGATTTATTTACTTAACCGGATTAACAATTTGTTGAAATCTCCTTTATGTTTTTCAGATATTAACGAGTGTAATTATCCGACGAAGTTTCCATGTTATGGAACTTGTTCGAATACTCTGGGGAATTACACATGCAAATGTAAAAAAGGGTATTCTGGTGATGCCACTATTGAAAATGGTTGCGGACGTAATAGATTCCACCCCCTCGTGTTATATATAGGTAATTCTTCCTTGTTTTCTTCAATTATTGGCAAAAGTTTCTATTATAAGGGTACACCAACATAACTGTATTTATATATATATATATATATAGAGAGAGAGAGAGAGAGAGAGAGAGAGAGAGTGTTAGGTTATGCGAGAACAGTAACTAAATAAGAAATTAAAAAAACAGTGAAATTAAGAAAACGGTAAAATTACATGTGATTTTATACTAAAAACACGTATATAATCATATGTGATTCACACGACTTTGACCATTACTGTAAGGTCGCGAGCCACGTTGTCCTCACACACTTTTGTCGACTGTATGTAAAATCATGTGATTTTACACATGATTTGATCATTTCATATTCTCTTATTTAGTTATTGTTCTAAATTTAACATTCCCATATATGGGGAGGGGGGAGGGGTTTGGTTTGCTACACCTTGGACGTAAAACTGGTCTTTTATTATTATTCTAATTTTACTTTTTGATATTTGAAAAACTCATGTTAGGATAAATAATTTCCAAATTTGACCTTTATTATACTCTCATATCATCATCATCAAGACTTGGAACCATATATATCTTCTCAGTATATTACAAAACAATTAATTTTCTCCTCAAACGCTTTTCTTGAAAAATAGTATAATGGAATTCTCCATATTATCGTATGGTATCATAGTCCAGAATTACAACTCTAGGAATTTGTTGTCGTATGTATAGTCTTCATAATAAGATTGTGTCTCATATAGAAAGGATAACGAGATCTTGTTTGGATAACGAAATCTTGTTTGTATAGTAACCTATATATAAGTTCTAAAGGCATTTCACAAGTTCCATATAGGAAGAGTGATAAATTTTCGTTAGTTTATAAGTTTTAATCATCTTGAGTTGTTTAAGAGGTTAGATGGACTAAGGAAAATTTAGTCTTGTTGTGTAAATTTTACACATATATTAAACGGTTAAAAGATATAACTAAACTCACTTCTTTGGAGTTTGGTATAGCTTTATTTTGTTTTGATTGCGGAAACATAACTTAATGAATTAGCACACTACACGTCACTTTGCATATATATATATATATATATATATATATATATATATATATATATATATATAGTTAGAG